ACCTAACACCATAAAAACCCGAGAAAAAATCTAGGCAAAACCATTCAGGACATAGGCACACGTCAGGACTTCATGACTAAAACACCAAAAGCATTGGCAACAAAAGCCAAAATTGACAAATGGGATTGAATTAAACTTAAGAGCTTCTGTACAGTAAAAGAAACAATCATTAGAGTGAATCAGCAAACAACAGAATGAGAAAAAATTTTTGCAATCTATCCATCTGACAAAGGGCTAATATCCAGAATCTACAAAGAACTAAAACAGATATACAAGAAAAAAAAACAAACAAACCCATCCAAAAGTGGGAGAAGGATATAAACGGACACTTTTCAAAAGAAGACATATATGAGGCCAACAAACATATGAAAAAATGCTCATCATCACTGATTATTTGAGAAATGCAAATCAAAGCCACATTGAGATACCATCCCATGGCAGTTAGAATGGCGATCATTAAAAAATCTGGAGACAACAGATGCTGGAGAGGATGTGGAGAAACAGGAACACCTTTACACTGTTGGTGGGAGTGTAAACTAGTCCAATCATTGTGGAAGACAGTGTGGTGCTTCCTCAAGGACCTAGAGATAGAAATTCCATTTGACCCAGCAATTCCATTACCAGGTAAATACCCAAAGGATTATAAATCATTCTATTATAAAGATACATGCACACATATGTTCATAGCAGCACTGTTTACAATAGCAAAGATCTGGAACCAACCCAAATGCCCACTGACGATAGACTGGACAAGGAAAATGTGGCACATATACTTCGTGGAATACTATGCAGCCATAAAAAACGATGAGTTCGTGTCCTTTGTAGGGACATGGATGAATCTGGAAACCATCATTCTCAGCAAACTGACACAAGAACAGAAAATCAAACATCGCATGTTCTCACTCATAGGTGGGTGTTGAACAGTGAGAACACATGAACACAGGAAGGAAGGCATCCCACACTGGGGGCTGTTCGGGGGGGCTAAGGGAGGGACAGTGGGGGTGTGGGGAAGTGGGGGAGGGAAAACATGAGGAGAAATGCCAGATGTAGATGACAGGGGGATGGAGACAGCAAACCACATTGCTATGTGTGTACCTATGCAACAATCCCGCAGGATCTGCACATGTACCCCAGAACCTAAAGTACAATAAATAAATAAAATAAAAAGTGGTTATAAATATGAGTGCAGAACTGCCTTTGAGCTACAACTCTGGGCACAATGCCTATGGGGTATCCCTGCTCTGCAAGAAGCAGAACCTCAGCTGCTGCTATACACTGTCACTTAAAAAAAGTTGCTGTTTAACAGCACCTGCTCTCCCTGGAATTCTTTCTTGGGAAAAACCAATAACTCTCCTGGGGTAAGCCATAATTTTGAAGCTCACCTGTCCTCCATCAAGTCTGTCTTCCTTGATATGAAGGCAGTTCTCAGTTTGCACAATTCCTGTGCATGAATTTCAATTACCACCATTTAATAAAATAATCAGGTCCCCAACAACAGGGTTCAAATTTCAGTTAACACAGATATTAACTATGAGTAATTGCATAAAATACAAACTTATTTGTCAGGACGTTCGTCCACTAATCACAACATAATTAAACAGATGTATATTACAATCAGTGACAATTACATCACGCCTTTCCAAGTCTGTTGGTGATTGGTCACTGTATATTTGTTTTACAGTTCACACAGACAGTAAAGTGTGTAGCTATGTTGCCTCCTTGTCTCTCAGCGATACACAAACTATATTTTATAAAAATGGATAATCAAAAGAGAGAATTGGCCAATAAGGATCAAAGTATACCAAAGATGCAAGCAGTGAATTCAAGTCAAATATAAATGGAGTTATAAAAGAGAAAGCTGACTGTGGGAATGTCAACACAGCTGCCTTTCAAGAGACTCTAGATATGCAGCCAGTAGAAACTGGTGAAGGCAAACCTATCAGCATAAATGAGAAAAGTGGTTGTAATGAAAAGAATAAAGATATCCCAGATGCCTATAAAATGCTTCACATTAAAAGAACTCTCAGAGATAGTTCATTCTCATTAAAGGAAATCTAAGACATATTTTATAACATTGAAAGTAAAAATCATAAAATATTGGCAGTTGATCCAAACTTAAACAGGAATATGATAATTCACCAAGGCATAGAACAGATGTTCATTCTGTATAAGTTATACAATGGGAAGTAGACAAGCGCTGCCCAAACTTTCAATAGAGTTTTTATAAATAAAACACCGTAGTTATTTCTGTTATCCATGTTTTAAATTATAGTGTGCTAAGTAAAAATTAGTTTGACTATTTTTCCATTTCCTTATACATTTATAACCATCAAAGTTTTTAATGTTTTGAGGAAAAAAAAAACTTTTCTTGAGACTGAGTCTCACTCTGTTGCCCAGGCTGGAATGCAGTGGCACGCTCTTGTTTCACTGCAACCTCCACCTCCCAGGTTCAAGTGATTTTTCCCCCTCAGTTTCCTAAGTAGCTGGAATCACAGGCATGTGCCACCACGTCTGGCTAATTGTTTTTTGTATTTTTAGTAGAGATGGGGTTTCACCATGTTGGTCAGGCTGGTCTTGAACTCCTGACCTTGTGATCCGCCTTCCTTGGCCTCCCAAAGTGCTGGAATTATAGGCATGAGCCACAGTGCCCAGCAGTGACAAAAAATTTTTAAAGGGCACAGAACAATTGTACATTTTCCCTTTGATTATTAAAATTGTTTTGCACAGTTCTTTTTTACAGTCCTATGCTACCATGTAAACAAAGAATTACCTGTAACTTCTTCATTGGCTTCCAGGACACCACATTCACTTAGTTTTCTTCCTGCATCATTGGTTTTCCTTTTCCCTTAACTCTAAATGTTGGAGGACGCTAGAGCTTCGTTCTTAGAGTCATTCTTTTATTTATCTACACTAATTCCTTAGAGATTTCATCCAGGCCAGGAGCAGTGTCTCACAGCTGTTATCCTAGCACTTTGGGAGGCCAATGTGAAGATCACTTGAGCCCAGAAGTTCTTGGCAACAAACTCAGATCCCTGCCTCTACAAAAAATTTAAAATTAGCTGAGCATGGTGGCGTGCACCTGTAGTCCCAGCTACTTGTGAAGCTGAAGTGGGAGAATCTCTTGAGCCCAGGAGTTTGAGGCTGCAGTGAGCTATTATTCCACTATTGGCACTGCATGCCAGACTTGGTGACAGAGCGAGATCCTGTCGCAAGAGAGAGAGAGCGCAAGAGAGAGAGGGACAGAGAAGTCATCCAGTCTCATAGCCTAAAATATCACTACATGCCAACAATGCCCACATTTACTTCTCCAGCCCAGACTTCTCACTCAAACTCCAGATTTACATATCCAACAGATTGTATGCTCTGTACTTGGCTATCTACTTGGCTGTCTTAAACCTAATATATGATATATCCAGAACTGAAATCCCCACCCCAACCAATAAAAAAGGCAACTGCTCTACCCACAGCCCACATATTCCCCATCTCAGGCGATCACAGTTTCTTCCTTCTAGTTGCTCAAGCCAAACATCTTGGAGTCATCCTTAATTATTCTTTTCCCCTCACATCCCCCAGAATATCTGTCTGAAGTCCTATTGGCGCTACCTTCAAAATATATCCAAATCAGACCACTTCTCCCCACCTCCACTCATACCATCATCCTGTGCCAATACATCATCATCTCTTGCCTGGAGTACTGCAATAAATCTCTCTCCTAATCTGTTTTCAACACAACAGCCAGGATAGTTCTTTTAAAATATATGTCACTCCTCTATTCAGATGTCCCTGCCCCCAGTGGCCCATTTCATTCAGAGAAAAAAAGCCAGCAACTTTCCAAAGACCTTCTACACAGTCTGGCCCATTGTTAATTTTCTAATTCTATCTCCTACTCTTCTTCCTCTCACTCACTCCATTGCAGACACTCTCACTGGCCTACTTCTTGCCAAGGTACGTGAGTATTTTAAGTAAGAGATGCTAGCACTTCCTTGAGTACTTTAAGTAAGATATGCTAGCATTTAGAGCCTTTGCCCTTTCAGGAAGAAAAGCTTCCTGAAAAGCACTTCCTGCAGAAATCCACCCAGCTAACTCCCTTCAAGTCTTTGCTCAATGTCACCTCAAGGTACAACCACCTACCCTGACCTACCTTCACAACCTACTGCCACTCTCCAGAAACACTTATTACTCTTAATTTTCTCCATTTTTTTACATCATTCATCAGCCAATATACTGTATAATTTGTTTACTGGTGTTATTGTCTATCTCCTGCTGCTTAGAAGGTCAACTCAATGTGGGCAGCAATTTCTTTTCTATTTTGTTTACTGATAAAAAGTCCAAGGGCCTGGTGATAGTGTCTGGCACATAATAAACATTTAATAATTACAGTTGATCCTTGAACAACAAGAATTTGCGTTTCACAGGCCCACTGAAACCTGGATTTTCTTCTCTTTGCCACCCTTGAGACAGCAAAATCAACCCATCCTCCTCAGCCTACTCAACATGAAGTGGAGGATGGAGACCTTTAAGATGATCCACTTCCACTTAATGAATAGTAAATAATTTTCTCTTTCTTTTGATTTCCTTAACTTTGTTTCTCTAGCTTACTGTATTGTAAGAATACAGGATGTAATACACATGACATACAAAATATGTGTTAACTGTTTATGTTATCAGTAAGGCTTCTGGTCAACAGTAGGCTATTAGTAGTTGTAGTTAAGTTTGGGGGTGTCAAAAGTTATGCAGGAATTTTCAACTGTGCAGGAAGGCTGGTACCCCTAACTCCCACATTGTTCAAGGGTCAACTGTATTTGCTAAATAAATGAAGTTGAAAAAATTCTAAGTTACTAGTTATTACATTGACCCAGGGAACCTTCTGTTTATGTCTAATAATTCCCATCTGGTGAGGGAAATCTGAAAATCTAGAATGTGACTACTCATTCGTTTTTTTTCAAGAATTACTTCCTGAATATTTTGAGTATGCCAAACCCTAGAAGTCAAACACATACCTTTCCGATTCTGGAGCTGGTGCGTCTCGCTTTCGGACACGGTTCTGAATTGATGCAAGTGCTTCTGGTGAATACTGGGCAGCATTGCTCTCCATGTATTTCAAAACATACTCATCTGTATCAAGGATGATGAACCGGTGACCAAACACTGGAGAGAAGGCAGCAACACACTTAGCTTGGTGATGTTCTCTCATGCAATCAGGAGTAAAACAGTATTAACCCTCCAATGATAAATTCATGGGTATGCATTTATGACAGAAACTAATAAGTCTTCTTTAAATGACATAGTAATATGCAGTCATTTGCTCAGTGTTTACAAACTTATTGTTGACATCTGTAGCCAACAAATGCAATCAATTTAGAATTTAATTGATTAGGAAGGAGATTAACACATTATACCATATATACAAGGATAGTAGCTTTATCTCAGTTGCAATACAATCTAATTGCCTCTTACGAGGGTTAAATGAATTGAATTCCAACTAAGAACTCATTCAAAGAGCCAGGAGGAAATTCTGGACTGTGTTTAGACCTACCCTCAATCACAGCACCAATGAAGAAGTCACCGGGGCCATAGTAGATGGGGTTGTCCACTGTAGAGTATGGTTTAACAACTTTAGTCCTGCCAAGGTACTTGCCTCCAATGATACCAGAGTTGCGAACAGGAGGCTCAAAGATACTGATCATGTCGGTAGCTAGAAAGTAAGAGAAGACAAATCTGCGGTCTTTGTCTTCTGGGATGGGGGATTCCTACAAAGGTAAAGAAAAGAGGGTATTATGAAGGTTCATGGTCTATGTGGATGTGCAAACCTAAATGCCTACAGGGGCCAGGTATAGGATATAAATGAAGCAGTCTGGGTTCTTACAATATAAACAAACCATCTATGGGGAATTCTGGTGTCTTTGGGAAGACCATGCCTCATCTATGAGAGGCTTCCCAAGGAAGGCTGCACCAACTCAACCCAATTGTTGCCTTGTGAGACTGTAGGCCCAATGTTGCTAGATCTTTCAGTTTTTCTAAATATAAAAATGTGAATTACTATTTTAAACCTCTGATTTTTAAAGTATTGACTCCAACCCTTCTAAAGCACCATAAAGCCCAAACAGTATATGAGAACATATATGTGGGCTGCCAGTTTGAGACCTGTTGGCCAACATTATGTTCAACTTCATGAACACTGAGATGATTACGTAAGGTTTCCGTTTTTAAGCAAATCAATTTATTTACATATTGTAAAAAATAAAATTTAAAAAGATGGGATAGAGTAATATATCAAAGAATTGAAAGTGATTCTGAGAAACTACCATGTAGACAAAACTTTTTCTAAATCAAATTGCAGAGTGATCACACAACCCTTAAGGAAGAAATTCCAGCTCCAACAAACCTTAAAACGGATTTGCTTATTCCTGACTAAAATCCTTTCATATTGTAACTGTAGCACATGTTTTCATTAAGACCATGGGATTGTGTTAACAATTCCTCATCTATTAAAGAAGTCATTAGATTTTTCTCTTAGTAAAATAATTTTCTCATATCATTCGCTCATCTAATAGTCTCCAAATCTTTCAGATTGTATAACCATGTAATAGAAGTATAAATTTTAAATAAACAACCACAACATAGTTAATGAAAATCAAATCACATCACTCCTCTGCTCTCAAATCTTCAAAGAATTCCTGTCACACACAGAATAAAATACAAAGTTAGAAGCACGGGAATACAGGGGGGCAGGGGAAGATGATGGTAATGTTTTATCATGGCAGAAAGAGTACTATAAAACTTAAAAAAAATTATTCTTTATTGGGAATGAGGTTTACATTTATAGAAAAGCTGCATAAATATTACAGAGAATTCTCACTCCCCTTACCAAGGTTCTCGTAATGTTAACAGCTTATACAGCCATCAGTACAATCATCAGAACCAGGAAAATAACAATAGTACAACATTAGTAAATAAATTATGGTCCTTATTCAAATTTCACCTATTTCTCACACATTTTTATTTCAGGACCCCATCCATGATCCCGCACTGCATTTAGTTATTACTTGTCTTTGGTCTCCTCCAATAGGTGATAAGTAATTCCTCAGTCTGCCCTTGTCTTTCATGACTTTGACACTTTTGCAGACTACTGATCAATTATTTTGTTGAATATTCCTCATGCATTTCATTTTTGTATTTTTGGCAAAAGTATTCCAGGAAATATATCATGTTTTTAGTGTATACCAAGGAGTTCCTGATATCAATATGCCTTATTATGGATGACGCTGACCGTGATCACTTGGTTAAGAAGGTTTCTGCTGGATTTATTTCCTTAAAGTTACCACATTTTCCTTTGCAATTAATAAACATCTTGGGGGACATGTTTTGAGATTATGGAAATCCTGTTTCTCCTCAAAGGTTTCCCCACTAATGTTAGTAGCCACTGCTGGATCTTATCTACAACCATGATTACTGCAGTATGTGCCTAATGACCATTTTTCTACTTCCCACGTTTATTCTACATGTATTAGCTGAAATTCTACTGCATGGAGGAGTTGTCTCTTTGGGGATGAGTATCACTGATGTTGTTTAGAATTACAGGCACATAGTAATAATAATAAACAGACCAACTTCTAGTTGGTTTTATTTTTAAGTTCTCTGCAGCTTGTTATCTATACTTTCTTGTTACCTGGACTGCTCCCATCAGCCCATTCCTCTGGCCTTGTTACACCACTGGTTACAGAGCCCTGGCTGGCCCCCGACCTGTCATTTTCACCCTTTTGCCCTCCATTCACTACACACAGTCTTGGTCTTACATGCAGCTCTCTCAGATATTTCCCTGGCTGGCTTCCTCAGCTATTCACTGGGTCTCTGCTCTGCTATGACCTCCTCAGAGGGATTTTCCCATTCTTCTACCAATAGGTCAGGGGAAATCATCTGAAACTCACCATGACCAGAATATCATTCTGATATAAATGAGCCCCTTTTCCATCATTCTCTGTCTCTTGTTTTATTTTTTATAGAACATTTTACTACCTATCCTTATATATTTATTTATAGAATGTTAACTAGAATGTAAGCTCCATGAGAGCAAATATTGCTCTCCACTATACCTTTGGTATCTATAATCATATCTAGCCCAGAGTAGTCCTTTAATATATGTTGAATCATTTAATAATTAAACATGTTTTATATAAATATAATTTGTGCATTAAAAGGCACATATAAAAATATCAGAGGCTATAAGATAAATGCACTCATAGTAAATAAAATAAACAGAGGCTGTAATGTTTTCTTAACAAACACCACAGATGGTACTGTCTTGCATATCTCTTGGAAGACATTCAGCTGCTTTGAAGATCACAGTTCAAATCATCTTTCTTATGCTCTTCCAAAGCTTTGCCAAATTTCTCAGCCAGTACTCCATTCTCAGCCCCAGAGTTTACTAGCATATTTTTACTTAGGCACCAATTGCCTATTAGGATTTAGTATACTTTATTTTCTCAGAACACATCCAGTGTCTCTGTCTGTCCTCCATAGGACTTAATTACATTTGTTTCTGATCATTTCTCTAGCATACTCCCTTCTTTTTGAATTTCCATATATTTTCTTTTGAAGTCCCCATCTCACTCATAAACCTTTTCCCCTTATTGTCAAGCACGCTTTTTTCCTCAAGAACTTTTGTGATGAGTCTAATGAATACATTTTCTATTTCACCAAACAGGTCAGGGTAAAACATCTGAAAATTACCAAGACCAGAATATCATTTCTTTTTTCCTGCCCATATGAAGATATCCACTATTTTTTACTAATAGTTCTGTTGGCTTTCTTTTAAATCTTTTTACTGTGAGCAGTAACATAGAAAGAAAACTGCAAAAATAAAACAACAATAAAAATACCAAAATGTAAAGCCCAAATAATTTTAATAAAGTGAACACCCATATAATCACCATCCAGGTTGAGAAACAGAATGCTGACAGAACCTCCCAATCAATATTCTATCCTTCCCCCATCAAACAGGCCATTGCCTTGAATTGTAAGGTTTTCTTTAGTTTTGCTACAAAGCAGGCATCCATAAAGTTTTGTTTTGCCTGCTTTTTAATCTTCATATAAATGAAATTACATAATATGTATGCATTCTTTTGTGTCTGAATTGTTACCTTCAAACTTAGGTTTATGTGATTTAGCCATGTTGTTCTTAGTCACTGTCACTCATTAATTTTCATTGAACAGAATTCAAATTATGACACAAATATGCCATAATTTATCCATTCTCCTGTAGGTAGACATTTAGGTCTGTTTTTGCTATTATGAATTATCCTATTATAAACATCCTTACCTTTTGGTGCACATATATTGTACCCTTAGTACATCTAGTATATATGATTATGCCAAACTGTTTTACAAAGTGGGTATACTCACTTAGTAAAGAGTATGAGAGTTCCTATGGTTCCACATTCTCACCAACATATTAATGATTCTGATGGATGGGTAGAGGCAACTCATTATGATTGTAATCTGCATTTCTTTGATTACTAACGAAGCTGAGCAACTTCTCATATGTACGTATTTTTAAAAACAGAGTCTCTGTTTTCCAGGCTGGAGTGCAGTGGCAGGATCATAGTTCAATGTAGCTTCAAACTCCTGTGCTCAAGTGATCCTTCTGCCTTAGTCTCCCAAGCAGCTGGGATTATAGGTATATGCCACCATCCCCAACTAATTTATTTATTTTTTTTTAATCTTTGTAACAATAGGGTCTCATTATGCTGCCCAGGCTGGTGTTGAACACCTAGCTTCAAGCAATCTTCCTGCTTCAGCCTACCAAAGTGCTGGGAAAACATGTGTGAGTCATTGCACCTGGCCCTTCTTATATGTTTAGTTGCCTCTTGGATATCCTCTTTTGTAAAATGCCTCTTCAAGTTTCTTGCTCATTTTTCTTAATGTTTTCAGAATGTTTTATATATTCTGAATATAAGATCTTGGTTGATTTCTGTATTAAACACATGCTCCCACTCAAAGCTTGCCTTTTTAAATTCTCTTAATGGTGTTTTTTGGAAGAACAGAAATTCTTCATCTTAATGCAGTTAAATTTATCCATTTATTTATATTTATGTATTTATTTTGGAGACAGAGTGGCATGATCTCAGCTCACTGCAACCTCCACCTCCCAGAATCAAGTGATTCTCCTTCCTTAGCCTCCCAAGTAGCTGAGACTGCAGGCGTGAGCCACCATGCCCCGCTAATTTTTTTGTATTTTTAGTAGAGACTGGGTTTCACCATGTTGGTCATGCTGGTCTCAAACTCCTGAGCTCAGGCAATCCACCTGCTTTGGGCTCCCAAAGTGCTGGAATTACAGGCATGAGCCACTGCACCTGGCCATTTATCCATTTTTAAAACATGACTGCTTTTTGTATCCCACTAAATAAATCTTTTCCTACTATAATGTTAAGATTATTTATTGCTAAGAAGTTCTATTGTTTTGCCTTTCACATTTAGATTTTCTATCTACCTAGACTTGATTTCCACTTTTGGTGTGAGATGGAGGTCAAATTTTCTTCTTTTTTGTTACATGAATATCTAATTGTTCTGATATCATTTATTAGAAAGATTTTCCTCTCCCAGGCCCTCTGCAGTGCTGCATTTGTCACATGTCTTTTTCTGGGTCATCTATTCTATTCCATTGGTTTGTCTGTCCTTGCACCAATAATAACATGTTGTTTTAATTATTGTAACTTTTAATACAGCGTGGTATTTTGGTGAGCAAATCCAC